CGAAATAAAATCGAACAAAATGACGGAAAATTGTTCTACAGTTTAATTGAGCTTTACATTAAGCAGATGTCATGGAGTAAAGAATGGTATAAATGCTTTTTTGCTAATCTCCGTTTTATTATGACAAATGGCCAAGTCGCCACCGTGCCCCAGGCTCTTAAACTCTAGCTGGGTAATCAATTCAGAAGACTTGGGCTGTTAGGAATATGTGTGTGATGTGATTAGCCTAATTTCAGAGGCATTTTGCTGTTGATCATTGCTGGAGCAGTCATAACTGTTACCAGTATGACTGTGCTGTTTTTTATTTTCTGCAGACGTTAATGAAATATAAACACAAGCGCATATAATTTTATCCTATCGGCTCAATATCACTGTTATGTGGGGTACGACTGCTTTATAGATCTCTGTAATATATAGCATGCATTTGTGGCCTCTGGGCTACATAAATGAAATTTTAGGTTGGAGACTAGAGAGATGGAGAGAATGTCATTGTGAGATTCTGGTCTGATGTCAAACATAAAGGCAAAGTTCTGTAGCAGCCTGAGGATACATGAGCTTCGGTTCATTTGGTGGAGTTCATATTTCACTCCAGCTCTAGTTAATTATTCAGGCTAATGGTATTTTCTCAGGGCTCTGGCAGATAATTTGTTATGTATCCCTTACTGCTCATTAAGTGTCCAACTGCGAGGGACATGTGTCTACATAGAAAGACAGCTGAGAAAGAACTAGCTTTTTCTGTCTGCCTCTGTTGAAAGTTTGCATATCTAAACAAATGAAACGCATGGACATTCGGTTGCTTTAAAGGGGACATCGCACGCCCATTTTCCACAAGTTGGTATGATTCTTTAGGGTCTTCATGAAATGTCTGTAACATACTTTGGTTAAAATTCCTCTGTGGTCGTGTAAAACAACACCCTTTTTACCTTGTCAAAAACAACTGTGTTCACAGCGACCTGTTTCGGTGCATGTCTCTTTAATGCTAATGAGCTCTGCTCACCCCGCCCCTCTCTTCCGTGGAAGGTGATTTGCAAATAATCATAAAAAATATAAAGTTTGAGACTTACTTCTTCCTGAGGTGCAGCTGGATCATGAACAGTGGGTACTGATCCATGCTTGAGTTTGAACTTTTTAGCACCTGCCTTGAATTGTCCCTCACTCAGAAAGCAGTCTGGTGTAGAATGATTTGTGCTGACATAAACTAATTTAGATTTATTCGGTGGCGCATTACCATAAAAAACAAAACTAATCCACTGCGTCCTCAGTGGCTCTGATGTCAGGAGAAAATGAAGACTCTTATGTTCACTTTTACATCCAACTACAAAACACCTGCATTGCTTACGAAACATTGTTGCGGACAGCGTACAGCGTACGTGGAGATATGCTAATACGGGACAGTCTGTCAGCGGTCGTGGGCAGGGCCTGTGCAATATGACGTCATACTGCTCAGAAAATCAAAACGCTTGATAATTGAGACTGTTTACGTTTTTCGGGGATTAAAAAAAAAGGAGTGAATGGATTTTTATCATTGTAGGGTGGTTGTGTCCACACACTGCTAAGACACATTATATGCAAACACCATGTTAAAGTGAATTTTGCATCCAGTGTCCCATTTAATGCAAAATTTACATATACATTTGTGTTTAGCAGATGCTTTTATCCAAAGCGATTTACTAAAGAGAAGTAAAAACAGTTTGTCAAAGGTCCAGCAATATCTGCTGTATCTGACAGTGTAGAGTACAGCACTCAGACCAATACTCAATGACTCATGACTTAATTCTCCTAAAAAAAATGTACATATTGAATAGTAGACAAAAATGACTTTGTGTTAATAAGCCTTAAGTATTTACATGAAATTAAATTAAAACTCCATGAAACGCCACCATATTCAGTAATATGTCACTGTTCTTATGTAATTTCATTGTAGAATGGAACTGTAATGGAAACTTTTTGTTAAATATTTTCTTGGCCGTTGAATATTATGTAAAGGAATTGTCTATCAGCATGCATATGAAATATCATGAGAGAGCAGATAATTCTGTATGTGGGAATCTCTCAGGAAAGAGCCTTTATGTTCTTTTTGTTGTTTTCCTGGCATCTCTTTTCCCTTTGTTTTCCTAAATTTGTGTTACATGCTTTAATCATCTGTGTAATGAAAAACAAATTGGTTTGGCACAGCTCAGGGCTCTACACTAACATTTGCTTAGGAGCACTCGTGCCCTTAGGGGCTCAGTCAGATTTTTCTGAGACTGCAGTAATAATTTGTGACAATACTACATATGCGCAAGCAAACACTGAAAACTGAAGTAAGTAGTAATGCAGCAAAAAGAGTGAGGAACATTTGATAAAGAAAATGATATTGATAAGTTTATATTAACTTGCTTTACTGTAAAAGACGACAGACCAAAGTCTATTGGAGCACATTTTACAAGAAAATACAAATTTAGTCTACTTCAAGAGATTATTGATTTAATATTTAATTATTTCAAATGTATTATACTAATTTATTTTATTAGCAATTTCTGAGTAAATGTTTCTAAACCATTTTTTTCCAGTGTAACAAAACATATTGAAATCATGAATAGCTGTTAATCATCATTTTATTTGAATGCGTTTTAACTATTGAGTGTTATACATGTAATACTTTTTTTTTTACATGATATGATTGAAAGTTACTATAAAGTTTGGTTCACATAAACGGTCACATTATTATTGAAGTCAATATGGTGTAATTAAATTCCAGCTAAAATGTACCCACTAAAAAAAAAAATCCTTAAACCATTGCATTTGGGCATTTTGTTGACTTTGAAAAGCAGCCAGTCACAGTATAATTAGATTGTACATAAGTTGTTTATGTATTTTATGTTAGCAAGTTTTGGTCAGGTGTCAGATATCACTGAATGCATTTTCACATTCACACACAGCAATTTCCTCACACAGTAGAGCCCTGCAGCGTGTGTAATGCACAGAGCTCTGTAGTGCCAGAGGCAGATCAACGCTGTGTAAAAAATGATGACATTGGCAGCAACACTCCAGAGGTGTTTGCATGCGTTTCCTGCTGTGGCCTGAAATATGAGGCCTTTACCTCATTTTTTTTATTAAGAATTCCCTACCACAGGCTAGAAAATATCCTCTTGGAGTCAAAATGATTGTTAATTAATTACACAGACATGTGTGGACTTCTTTGCCATCCAGTTGCATCACACATTGAAAAACATTCACATAAAATGCCTCCAAATTAAACAGTTAGAGTACTTTAGCAGTACTCAGTTCCTCCAGGCCAGAGCTACCGTGGGTAATTTGCTGTCTTAATGACATAAATATCTTACACGGTCTGTTTTGTAGAATTAGGCTTTAAAAATAAAGTGGAGAATGTTGTTCTTTTAAAGCTGTGATTACGTGTCATTACTCAGCAGTAATTTATCTTCATAATTGGTGTAGACACAAAGGCCCGCACAGAGCGGATCTGATGTCGGGGTAGTAGCAGCTGGTCAGGAGACGTGGCTTCCATTTTCAGGCCGGAGTTAAGTTGTCAGCTTTTAGTTGGAAGCATGCCAGTGAAAGTCAATAAAAGCGGCGGCTCTAATCACAGGAGGAAAACACGGCCGCTCTGTAAAACAAGGCCATGAAATCAACTTGGCAACCATGTAAGATGTGTTATTAATGATGTTTAAGTACTGAAAATAACTTTAACATGTATGTGCGTGTGTGTGTGTGTGTGTGTGTGTGTGTGTGTGGTTATATTTATTTATATTTTTTATTTATTCATGTTTACATAGTTCTGGCATGAAACTCTAGATGGCACAGTCCGATAGATCTAACTCAATCTAACCTAATGGCATCATTAGCACATGACACAGCTGATTAGTTCTCTCCTGTATCGGTAGCCAATGAGCTCGCTGCTCAACATTCAAATATATGACTAGTGCTTGCCGTAGCAGTGCAGCTTGCTTCAGAAACCCTCCACCTTCCCCAGCTCCACCTGTATAGATCTGCTACGAGGTGATTCATGTATGCTATATGGGGGTATTTCATGTATGTTATATTTGCAGCAGCAATATTTCTTACATGCTCACAGCAGCATGTTGTTGATGTATTGGCAGTAGCAAGTCTCGGTACTTGCTTTGCCGCAGCAGCGTAGCAGATCTATTCCACCAGAACCAAATACATTAACATTGTCATGTACATTACCATGCCAATCCCTCCGAGAGTTGTCATGACAGAATTATATATATTTAGTTATATTTAGTTCATTCACAAGCAGATACTGTATATATTCAATATTAATATAAAATAAGATAAATATGACAATTTTTATTACTAAATATTATGATTGTTTTCTGTTTGAATATATTATAAATTGTAATTTATTCCTGTGATACAAAGCTGAATTTTCAGCATCATTACTCCAGTCTTCAGTGTCACATGATCCTTCAGAAATCATTCTAAAATGCTGATTTGGTGTTCAAGAAACATTTTTTATTTTTTATTTTTTTATTCTACTTAATATGTTTGTAAAAACCGTGATAGAAACCATGTTTTTTTTTTTCAGGATTCTTTAGGTATATCATAGAGAATTCAAGAGAACTGCAGTTATTTGAAATATAAATATTTTGCAACAATTTCTTTGTTACTTCAATTTATTGCATTCTTGCTGAATAAAAGTATTAATTTCTTTTTCAAAAAAATGGTACCCTAAACTTTGAACTATAGTGTATATTTATATATGTATATCTCCATTCTATGAATCAACTGAAATTCTCACCAATAATATCAAAGCCCTGAATCCTATAAAGTCTGATGATTAAAATCAAGTCCTGCCTTATTTCTCTCTGAATATTCGGTTTCATTCTGAAATACATAAAATTATACGAGTTGCAATTTTGACTGGTTGAAGGTTTTCAGAGCAACACAAAATGTACAGTATATACACACAGCTCATAATTGCTGAGTTACTAAAATAAATTTGATCTCTCCTCATGTAATTCCTCTTCCTCATGCAGTGGGATCGGCAGAAACTGGCCATGGGCGTCAGGAGGAAGCAGTATTCTTGCCGAATACGGGACACTGCATTTGGAGTTCATGCATCTCGGTGCACTTTCGGGAAGACCAGTTTTTGCCGAGAAGGTGAGCAGCAGTTCAGGCGTCACGCCTCTGCAGTGCATTAAACACCACACTGAACTAAATGTGAACTTGGAGCGATCGTGAACTGTTAGAAGAGCTGACAACAGTGACCCAGGATGACCTCTGCTCGTAACAGTTATATTGATGCTCTTTTCGCTTCAATTCTCAGATCTGATTCTCTCCGAATTAATCTGCTGACCTGACCTGCAATATAGACACAGACAAATGACACTATTACAAGCTCTGAATGAGGCTAGACAAACTGTGAAAGTGACCTAGTCTGTAGATTTATGAGTTATGTCTCCTGTAGGAAGACATCGGATCAAAAAGGCTGTTTATTGCGTTTTTAATGGCGTACTGTATTGGATGAGCTTAGCTATGGCTTAATAATTTGAAGTGATGATACTGTGCCGTTGCAGGTAATGAACATCAGAAAAGTGCTGAATCGACTGGACAAACCTCAAGGATTGTACCCAAATTACCTGAACCCTAACAGTGGACAGTGGGGCCAGCGTAAGTCCAAAAACACACACATACTGAAGAACCTCAGAAGTATTCATTGAAATGTAATATTCTCAAGAAGTTTTCCCAGAAATGTCATGATTAAAGGGGTCATATGATGTTGCTAAAAAGGACATTATTTTGTGTATTTGGTGTAATGACGGCAGGTGGGCTTGTGGCAACCACATGTGGTGACCCCGGGCTGGACTCCGCTTCGTCCATGGTGAAAGCGAATCCAGCGATCCACAGCGTGATGTTGATGTATTTCCTCAGCGACCAGCACGGATCAGCTCCAGGCATGACGAAGCGGATATCGTCCTCTTTTGGAAGGCCAAACAAAGGAGTTTCGCTTTCACAACGAAACACACAGCACCTTCACGACATGGCAGTGGCGGCAACAACAATACTACAGCGAGAATAAAAGTTACGCCTTCTTTCTTTGCGTGAACATTTGGGGGGCGTTATGCAAATCTTCCCACATCGTGACGTAGACATGTGGGGGCGTGTTAGAACGAGCCATTTTAGGTAGGCGTGGTTGACTCTTAACTTTTATAAAGAATATCTCTTTGGATTTGAGACTTTAGTCTTTACAACTTTACAGATCTTCTTTATGCACCAAGAGCTTGTAACACTCCAAAGAGAAAGGAACAATTTTAATCGCATCATATGACCCCTTTAAAATGAGTGTCTTTATCCGTAGGTTGTTGAGCAAAATGCTTTCTCTAAGTGGAATTGATTTACAAGTGTTTCTCTTATAGATAGAGCGCTGATTTGTACACAAAACACTCTCATGATGGCAGATTCAAGAGAATATTTGTAGTGGATTTACCCATTTTCTCTTTAGGGCCTCTAAATTAAAGGAATAGTTAATCAAATGAAAAGCTGAAATAATATATGATGTTTTTTTATGTTTTCTAAAGTATATATTATTACTATTATTATTATTATTATTATTATTATTATTATATAGCTGGTAGCTAGAATTGTGAAGATCAACAATATCAATAAATATACAACTTTTATATAATAATTATGACACTATAATCATTCTTTTTTTATTCGTTGTGTTTTTAATTTATATGTACAGTGGTGTGAAAAAGTGTTAGCCCCCTTCCTGAATTCTTTTTTTTTTTTGCATGTTTGTCACACTTTAATGTTTCAGATCATCAAAACCGCATAAACACATTTCATTACACCAAATACACAAAATAATGTTCTTTTTAGCAGCATCATATGACCCCTTTAACATTGTATTTTTAGTGCATTTTTACACTAAATTACACTACCATTGAAAGCTGTGGGGTAGGTAAGGTTTTTTTATTTATTTTTATTTATTTTTTGAAATAATTTTTTTTCAGGAAGGATGCATTAAAGTGAAAGACTTTTACATTGTTACAAAAAAGTATATTTCAAGTGAATGTTGTTCTTTTGAACTTTCTATTCATCAAAGAATCTGTGAATGTTAAAAAGCTCAACAGTTTTCAATATTGATAATAGGGATGGAACGGTTCGCGGAAAAAATCCGCACACGGTTCGGCACGCACTAGGACACACGGTTCGGCAAGCACTAGTTCAACTTAAATCTGACAATGCATCTGTAATATGGTTTGCTATAAATAACATGTAAAACAAACAGGCTTTGGCTAATGTATATTTCTGTTGATGGATGCGCATTCTGGCTTCCCAACACATTACAACAACAGCGATGGAGAAAAAAAAAAGTGGACAAATCATTCACTCTTGTTCAATGCGAATGCCGTATGCTGGAATATGAGCAGTCATTTATTCCATCATCACCCGGGTGCTGATAAGCGCACGCACAGGTGAGACCTGAACAGCACACGTTGATCTGTGTTTAAACTAAACTCATGTAAGCTTTGCCAGTTTAAACATTTAAGAGCCAGAGGACGTGAGCTCGTGCGCGCAGTGAGAAGATTTGTGAGTGCGCTCATCCGAAGCTCGAAACCCGCGTCTCAGAACGCGCGCAAATATTAAGCTCTCTCTGAAGTATTGTGTTTAAATGGACAATTTCACACAAAAATTGTCAAAATGCCCGTCTTGGTAAGTATCCTATAGTAGACATAGCCGGCTGAACGTACTTACAGTGTCTTAAAGTGACAGCACTTTCTTAATATTAATGAAACCGCAACAACAAAGAAATCACTCACTGCTCTTGATTGAATAGGTTTTGTAACTTTAATAAAGATTAATCTTTAATTTATACAGTCAAATATGCAATGCTGTTTTACATTTCATTACTTTATTCAATTTCTGTACCTAAAAACTAATGTTACTAAAAACTAATGTTAGGCCTACCTAAAAAAAAACTGAAAATCACTGTTTATTTTATTTGTATCTTTACTCTATTGTATGTATTTGTGCTGTTGCTTGTAGTTAGATTATTCTTATGTTCTTTATTTTTATTTGACAGTATAGTTTTTCCCTAAACATAGCTCGTACCGAAACCGTGACCCTAAAACCGTGATACAAACCGAACCGTGAGTAAGTTGAACTGTTCCACCCCTAATTGATAATAATTATAAGAAATGTTTATTGAGCCCCAAATCAGCATATTAGAATGATTTCAGAAGGATCATGTTACTGAAGACTGAAGTAATGATGCTGAAAATACAGCTTTGCGTCACAGGAATAAATTACATATTAAAATGCATTGAAATAGAAAATAGTTCTTTTAAATTATAATATTTCACAATATTACTGTTTTACTGCATTTCTCTATCAAATAAATGTAGCCATAGTGAGTATGAGACTTCTCTTAAGAATCTTATTGACCTAAAACTTTTAAAGGTACTTTTAATTGATAATCAGATTTATTCAAAGAAAGTTTCTCAATTCATTAAGTCTTATGACTTTTTTTTAATAATGGTGAAGCAAGGAATCAGAATATGCAAATACTGTCATCGCTGATTGGTTCAAAGTGACAGACCTTCAAAAACATGTTCTAATGTGTGTTTCATTTAGTAGTTCATTTAGTTTTTATAACAACTGATGCTTCCAATTAGATAGTGCCATTATGAATTTTACAGATAAATTACAGTGAAAGTTTATTTAAGTCTTGATATATTTGTAAAGGTTTAAGACATTTAAAGTTGAAACATTAACAGACTGGCAGCATTTTTGAAGTTGAAAGAATTATGTATTTGTATGAAAGAAAGGTTGTTGTTTTTTTTCTTTTTTCACTTTGACTTAGGGCTGCACAATTAATCGAATTTCTAATCGCGATTACAATTATGGATGCCACAATTACAGAATCGTTCAAAGCGACAATTAATTGTTCAAAGTCCACTTATAACAGCACAACCCAGATGTTCGAATTTGTGCAATGCATTTGATGGGCGACAGTTTTTTTAACATAGATGAGTACAAGGCACAAAGGCTATTTCTAAAAAAAATAAATAAATAAGTAAAATAAAAAGGGTCAATTCCGACTTTGCTATGACAATCTGGCGCTTCTGAATCAGCGGATGTAAGGTGTGAGGGGAACAGGGTCACATCACAGGAGAGTGAACTGCCTGTCAGAAATCATAGCACGTCAGCTGTCTTAACCGCGGCTTGTGTACTGCATCATCACTGTGTCTGTCACGCGACTCTGTTGCCCTTTCGGGCTTGAACTGATGGTAAAACTAACGACATTATTAACTGTCTTGATATTTACTTTGAAAGCTGACGCTCACGATTATGGTAAGGGGTGTTACATTTCCGACGCGTGCTTGTGGTGTTCGGCCAATCACAATGCACTGGGTCAGCTGGCCAATCAGAGCAGACTGCGCTTGTCAAAGGAGGGGGCTTTGTTGAAAACACTGTGTTTGAGAGAGGCGGGGCATAGAGGACCTACAATAATGTACAGTATTTGAAAAATAATGTGTTTTTTGAACATTAAAGCGTCAACATATTCTGTTACACCAAATACACAAAATAATGATCTTTAAAGTAGCATCATATGACCCCTTTAAGGGTTTTTCCATTGTTTTAATGTTTGTTTTAGTATAACACTATAGTACCATTTATATTTTTACTTTTTTTATAATTTAAAGAAGAAACCAATCCTATGTATAGTTAACATTTGAGGCTTCATACTATAGAAAAGCACTAAAAGTTTTTCAGTTAGTGTTTTCAGCTTGTTTATTTTCATATAAAAATACGGCATGCAGTTGCATCAAACAATGGTATAAACATCATTCAATGTAAATTGTGATATTCGTAATTAATAATCGCAATTACAATTTCAAGGGAATAATCGACAATTATGATTTTTGTCATAATCGTGCAGCCCTACTTTGACTACATAGTTCTGGAAAATGAGAAGGCTCTGACCAGCACTTATGACTGGATATAAATCTGAGCACATGTAGCTGTAATTGTTGGTTACTGCACATTTTAAAGCCATATGAAAGTCAAGGATCGGCTATTAGCAGGTATTTTTATTAACTGGCCCCTGGTGCACATTTTGGCCCATGAGCTGCATAATTTGAGTATCCCAGAGGAAGATTAACAAAAAATTGCCTAATTCAGAAATGTAGCCGAGCGCTAACAGACAAAATGGGTACCATAAAAGCCCCTTTGACATTTGAAATAAGAATTTAATCTTAAATTGCTTGTTTTTCCTTTCTGTGCATTTTCTCTGAATAGTAGCGTGGCAGTGTATTTTTTATGGTTGTCTGCACTGAGGCTTGATTTCTCTTGACATATCTATCACAAAAACAAGTGCTTAATGAGGTATAAATATTCATGAGCTTGATCATCAATCAGACAATCACACAACAGTGCTGCTCTTCGAGCAACAGATTCTCATTTCTCATTCACAGTGGACCAGACAGCACTGAACGGACTGCCCCATTCACACGCCACCTGGAAACACACACGCATACACATTTTATTTCTCCTTCCGCACACAGACCTGTCTGGAGGAATTCACTAGACTCAAGCATATACAGCACATACAGTAGTTCAGATATGGGATATATATATATATACA